TCAAATAATTATTTACCAAATTTGATTTTTGCCTTTGTTTTCAAAATGAAATTTGATAGAATTCATATAAAAATGATTAAGAAAGTGAAGACATAATAAAATAATTATTTTGTGTAATTATAATGACATAAACTAATATTATAGAAAATTTTTAAAATTTGGAAAAAATGATGTTTGGGGATTTAGAAACTTTTGTAAACAATTGTTTTATAATATTAATTATATAACTAACTAAATAACTAACTAAACTGTTTTTTTATTCTTAATTTATTTATTCTTAATTTATTTATCTAATTAAATTATAATAATTTTAATAGATTATTTTTTTGTTTTTTTTATTAAAAATCTATTTTTAATGACATGAACTAAATCTTCAATAAAAAAACAAAATATTATCGAATTAAAAAGCAACTTGCTGTTCATCTAGTCAACACCAACGTAAATTAAATTGAGTTTGTTATGGTTCATTTTCGTATTATTAATATACGTCTTGTTTAAGCGACAAGATTTGTTTTACGTGTATTTAGTATATTATTATTCAATAAAAAAAATTTGGGGCCCTGAAATATAGTAAAATATCTCAAAAGTGGCACTTTGGAAGAGCGGGTTTTCTCAATAGAAAGCAGTTTAGACTAAAACAAAAATCGAGTTCTCCATAAAGTGGCAATTAAATTTGATTGTCTAAAATGACCGTTCTTGAGAAAACAAAAATTATCATTACTTCCCGCTCTTGAAAAGTTTGACTGTGTTTTTGAAAAAAAATATGTGTTGCTATTTTTAACCTCAAAAACAAATCTTAGGTAATTGAGTCCTCATTTTTATTATTTTTGACTAAGTTTTGGGTCATTTTTCGGTTTTTCGGCCAAGAAGGGGTTTTTCGTCTTTTTTAACAACTTTTTTATAGAAGGCATTTTTTGATACAGTGCTCATTGGTTTCAAATTGATAATATTTTTTAATAAATCGATTATGTTTTTATATTTATCGACAGTATTTTTTATGGTTTATATTGTATTTAATGAATTATATTACTATTAATGAAATAGATTGTGTTTTTTATAAATTATATAGCATTTAATGAAAGTGATTATATTTGTTATAAATTATATGGCATTTTTCTAATTTATACAACATTTTTAGTAAAATCAATAGTTTTTTTCTAAAATATATAGGATTTTTGATAACTTATATAACTTTTGTTTGAAAATATTTTGCTTTTTTTACAAATTATTGGATATTCCCGAATATTAGGAATAAAAATACACATAATAAGCAAGTTATTATTTGTTAAAAATACTTAATATGTAACTATATTTATACTATTATATAACTAAATTTTAATCTATTTTTATTTAGAACCTCTTCTCAATGAGGATATTTTTTTAACATAATTATGTATATTTAAATAACGGGCAAAAAATGATATCATGCAATTAGATTATATCGAGAGAAGAGATCCAGGAGCAAGAAACGACTATCATGAAAATGCACCATTATCCATGCAAGGGCAACCTGTACAACCTGTAATGTTGCCCCATCGAGATATCCCACCTCTTCAAAAAAGATCACGGGGTCGGCCCCGAAAATTGGATTTAAAAAAGAAGAAAATAAATACACGACCTTATTCTCGTGTTACAATTGATCAAAGAGATTCTTTGGTTGAACTATGGAGTAAAAATGGTGATAACATGAATGCTTCACGATATTCAGAAATAATTGGGATTAAAAAAATAAACATTGAAAAGTATCTTTCAATGTTAAGAAAAGGGATATCAATATATCCAAAAAATCATTATAGAAGACAAAGCCGTACTTTACCTTTTCAAAAATTGGTAGAAAAAGCTATTAAAGAAGACACAACAACAAAAATAACTTCAATTAGAAAAATGATAGCACAAGAAGAAAAATTACGCGAAGAAGAAGATGTTGATGAAATAATTTTGGATATTCCAAAAATATCCAAGGTTGCTGTTACTAAAGAGGACATTGATCTTTATGCACCTTCGATATCATCAATTGGAAATTTCATGACTGGTAAAACAGCAACAGGTGAAGAGAGAGAAGTCCCTATTTTTTCTTTCAAAAGAACAAAGACAAGAGGGCCAACAAGCAACACGCCAGATAATAAAGAAAAAAGAATTGCAGCAGTAAACGCTCTAAGGGGTTATATAACAGGTGGAGCAAGTTGGGTTTGTATAGATGAAACCAGTTGGACTGTAGCATCAACTCCTGCATATGGCTGGTCAGTTAGAGGGAAGGAAGCCTTCATCACAAAATCAAAAGGTGGTCTTCGCCTCACCTCCATATGCGCAGTTGATTGTGACGGACTCTCTTATTGCAATGTGGTTTGTGGAACAAACACATTAAATTCGTTCGAAGACTACTTCCGGTACCTAATTCATGAGTATGATATAAAACAAAGACAATGCGTTTTTTGGGTGGATAATTGTGATATTCACAACACTATGAGAAGAATGCTAGATAATACAAACCACACTGTCGTATTTAATGCTGCGTACTCACCAGCACTAAACCCAATTGAAAATATATTTAAGATCTGGAAAAGTAGGGTTGAAAAAAATGTGAGGACTTGGAATGGCATCGAAAATTTTCTTGAAAAAATCAGAGATGGTTTTTTAACTATTAAACCAGAAGAGTGCCAAAGTTGTTTTGAAAATGTTAGGGAAATTGTGTGGCCTCGAGTGTACAACCAAGAAAATATTTAATCAAATGTTTTTAAACAATGTATGGTCAATATAGTTCATTTATTAGTCTATTATAATGATATATATAATATATAATATATATAATTATATATTCAATAATAAAATATTTGTAATAATTATTGATAAAGTTATATTATAAATTTATTATTTTTATTATGTGTAATAATTGTGAAAATTTGTATTAAAATAAATAATAAAAATAGATTAAAATTTAGTTATATAATAGTATAAATATAGTTACATATTAAGTATTTTTAACAAATAATAACTTGCTTATTATGTGTATTTTTATTCCTAATATTCGGGAATATCCAATAATTTGTAAAAAAAGCAAAATATTTTCAAACAAAAGTTATATAAGTTATCAAAAATCCTATATATTTTAGAAAAAAACTATTGATTTTACTAAAAATGTTGTATAAATTAGAAAAATGCCATATAATTTATAACAAATATAATCACTTTCATTAAATGCTATATAATTTATAAAAAACACAATCTATTTCATTAATAGTAATATAATTCATTAAATACAATATAAACCATAAAAAATACTGTCGATAAATATAAAAACATAATCGATTTATTAAAAAATATTATCAATTTGAAACCAATGAGCACTGTATTGTTATTATTCTAATAAAATTTTGGTTTTCGGCCATTTAAGTGTTAACTTTTAATTCTTCAAACAAAGTTAAAATAATATTTATTTTTTTATTTTTATTATTTTTTTGAATTACAGTTAGTTCCATAAAAATTTACTAATGTCTCAAATTAATAATAAAATATACCAAAATAAATATAAATTGCACTTATTTTCAACTTTGTTTCAAAATAATATTAAATTGTATCATAATTAATGAAAATGTCTCAAATATTTAGTAAATTGTATCATAAATAAATAAAATGTCTCAAAATAATATTTTGTTTCAAATTATTAAAAAAATGTATCAAATAAATGAAAAATATATATCATAATTGTTATAAATTGTCTCATAATTTTGATAATTATTTCTAACATTATTGTTAATTACCAAATTTTTGTGTATTTAAACCGAATTTTTAATTAAAGATTGTATGTCAATCGACCATTTTGAATTCATTCATCAAGTTAATGATAATCATTATCTCGACAGACCCCCTCTTCAAGAAAATATACCAATTGAAAAAGATCTCATACCAATGAGACAAGAAGAGGAAATTATGGCTACAAGAGCCATCATGACTCAAGAAAAGCATCACGAACAACAGTCGTCCAAGAAAAAAAGAATATATGTTAATATTACCGAATCACAGAGACAAAAAAATGATTGAACTTTATGCAGAGTTTGGAACGACAAAATCTGTTGACTTTTATCAACAAAAGACAAGAATCCAGACTCAGTCTTGTAGAAGACTTTTAAAAGAACTCTGTAGTGGCAGGAACACATCAAAGCCATCGAAAAGAGGAAGAAAACCTAAATATAGTCCTGAGCTGTTAACGGAAATATCAAAACAACTTTCTATTGAAAGAAAAAGTCTACGTGATTGTAAGAGAGAAATCACCGAGAAAAATATGCAGTCAATTTCAATTTCAACAATGAATCGATATATTCACAGCAAACAAATAATGGAAACGTGTTTATTACCACAACTATCATTTATTGAAATAACCAAAAGATGACCCAGGGCAAATACACCAGAAAATAAAGAGTTGAGAGTCGAAAAGAGGAGAAAACTAGATTAATTTATTATCTCGGGGTATTCAGTTGTATTTGTTGATGAAAGTCACTGAAGTGTTGGAAATATGAGAACGAGGGCATGGGGACAACGAGGAATAAAACATATCGTTGAAACGCCATTGATAACGTATAACTTAAGTTGCATTTGCGCCATATCAGATTCTGGAAATAAATATTGCAATTTATTCAACACTGTAGTTAACGGAGATATATTTAAAGTATATTTTCAGAATTTAGTTGAAGCATTTACTTCAGATGGAAGTAGGATTGTATTTGTTTTGGATAACGCAGCTATACACAGAGATGAAATTGTGGAAATTGCAAATGTAAAGGGGTGTGAAGTATTATATACCGCTCCTTATTCTCCGGAGTGTAATCCAATAGAAATGGTTTTCGGTATTTGGAAAACTAAAGTCGGGAAATTGGGAAGTGTTGATTTGAAAGATATGATCGAAAACATAAGTTTATGTTTTAATGAAATTCCACCACATGAAATTAAAAAAACAATTCAACATTTTTACTCTGTAGTTACTCCAAAAATATTTGCTCGTGAAGACCTTTAATTATTATTTTTAAATGTTTTTTTAATTATTATCAAAATTATGAGACAATTTATAACAATTATGATATATATTTTTCATTTATTTGATACATTTTTTTAATAATTTGAAACAAAATATTATTTTGAGACATTTTATTTATTTATGATACAATTTACTAAATATTTGAGACATTTTCATTAATTATGATACAATTTAATATTATTTTGAAACAAAGTTGAAAATAAGTGCAATTTATATTTATTTTGGTATATTTTATTATTAATTTGAGACATTAGTAAATTTTTATGGAACTAACTGTAATTCAAAAAAAACATCGAAGTTTGTTTTATTTCAAAAACGCCTTGCATTATTTTTTTAAAATCAAAAATAATAAAAAAAAAGTTCGACAAATTTCTCTGAGCGAATTCAAATTGGTTGAATTCGAAGGAATAGACGGAATATATTGGTGGTTTAATATACTATTACTATGCTATATTTTACTATGAAAAAAATAAAGTATAATAATACAATAGTACATGAATTACTCGTACTCGGGAGCAGCCGAGACCTTGTGTTTATTTAACGAAACAAATGAGATGAAAATGTTATGATGTTGCATTGATGTTTTGATATTCTTAGTTGATGTGTTGTTCTTGGACAACACTGTTTCATTATAATTAAGTGGAGACACCGAAGGGTAAGGGTTATCCCATTGATCAAAGACGTGGTATAACCTATGTGAGTTATCGACATAGTACTGTCGAAGTGATTCAAGACTTTCCACTCGTAGGATCTTTCCGTTGCAACAGACAGTGTAAGACCATTTTAAGAGTCGAGGAAAATAGAGATCTATTGCACCCGTCCAAATATGACCGGAAGTCCATTTTAATTTGCAAGTCGTACAATCATCAAAAGTGATACAAAGTTCCTCTCCAAAATGTGTGACGTAATGAATGGAAAATGAAACGGTGATCTTCGTGATTGGCCTCAACGTTTTGTAATAGTAATCACTCATCAATCGTTAATATGTGTGGATTTTTTTAGTTTTGTCGTTTCCTTCGCCTTCTTTT